TAATGCTTATTTTTTCACTTAACTACAACAAATATTATTTTATTTTTTAATAAAAGAATGATTTTTTCACTTAACTGTAACAAATTTTTCCGAAGTTGGCATTTTTCATTGAATTTTCATATGATAACTCTAAATTGGAGATCCTAAATCCCCCCTCCTATTTTTTATTTTTATTTTTATGAACAATAAATTTTAAAATTGATGGGTGAACCGAAATCAAACATCTAAAGGTCAATCCAAGGCATCTAATGACCTTTAAATTCTTTAGCATTTACATTTTAACTCAACCCTTCTATGGAACCGCATCAATTCTTTTTAAATTAAGAAAAATTATTATTGTTTTTTTCGGACAAGAATCATTTCCAGCCAAATTACTCTCCTGAACTCCGCATACGTAAATTCTTTGTTCCAGATTTCACCATATCATCATCTGGTCAAAGTTCATGTTGAAAATTATGTTACAACTAAATTTGTAAGTAGTAGACTTTGACAAGATGATGATGTGGCTGAAGTTAAACCACATGAAGTTCAAGAGAGAGATTTGGCTGAAGATGATCCAAATCATGTTGTTTTTATCCTCTAGCAAGTTAAATAAAGGAAAAATCATTACATGATCCCAAGACCATTGGTCTCGGACAATCAATAATTGACACACAAGCAAAATATTGTAAAAAAACTGACATAAAGGTGACATGTTTGCATACTTCTCAACTAGTTATTGGCCAAGATCATTTTCCGGGATCAAAAAATAATTTATCCTTCTAAAGACATCTAAAAGGCAAGAATCATTTCCCGAGATCATGTAATAATATATCCACATCTAAAAGGACTTTACTAGTGTATATAACACCACAAAGTTCATTTTATACCTTAGTTGTGCTCTTTATGGTTTAAAATTTTCATTCTATTAAATAAAATTAGTTTTTCATTTTTAGATAAAATAAAAAATAAAAATAAAATTATTTGAAATATTTAATAAAATTATTTGTTTATTACTAGTGTTTGTATTTATAAAATAGAAGAATCGGTGTTTAATGAAAAATAAGAGTTTGTGTTTAATGAGAGCTCTTTTATACCTTTTTTTATATTTTAAATTGTTTGTTTATTAGTATTTGTTAAAATAAAATAGAAGAGTATGTTTTTAATGAAAAGATGGTTTGTGTTTAATGAGAACTCTTTTATACCTTTTTGATTAAATAAAATAATATATATATATATATAATAAAATATATATCTATTTTTTTTTATACTTTTAATAATAGTATAGAAGTGTGATTTGTATTGAAAAACTTAAATTATTATTATAATGGGAAGAGTTAGGGTCCGTTTGGCATGCGTTTTGTTTTTGACAAAAATAAAAAACAATGTTTTTGTTGTAAAAGTGTTTTGTAAAGAAATCAGAAACATGTTTGGGCATGATATTTTGTTGTGAAAATATTGAAAACAGAAGCATGCAAAACCCGTTTAGTCACTACAACTATTGTCAGCCTTATCTCAAGACCTCAACTGACATGAAGTTGTCAATCTCTCCACCTCCGTTGTGATCTTCGTGTTCCTCATCATCGGAGGCGAAATGATCGGCGTCGTCGGCAGCGGAGGGAGGGGATTTGCGGCGGATTTTGATGAGGCATTCGAGAGCTTGGTTGAGGCTGCACTTGTGGATGTAGAAGGCAAAGACCGCCATTATCGACGCTCCGAACAAGGCTGCCAAAGCGAGATGAAGACTCCATTGTTCTAGGTTTGGTTTGGTTTGGTTTGTGCTGTGTTTGGGTTTTGTGGGGTTATTATACTAGTTTGGTTTTGTGTGATCTGGGTTTGGTTTGTGTCCAGATTAGATTTTACAGAAATTGGGGTTTTAATTTCAGTAAAAGGTTTCAAAAAATCTTCTAGCTTTGAAACTGGGGCTTTTATTTTCAGCAAATAGTTTCAAAATTTTGGCTTTGCTGAGAGTGGAATCTACCTGAGTTAGATTGCATATTTAACTTCAGTGACCAACAATAATTCAGAATTTCCAATTATGAAAACATTGGCAGCCATGGTTTTATTTCAGAGTACTAAAGTAAATATATCATGTGTCAATAGGGTTACTGGTTGAAAGGAAGAAGATGAAGACGATACTGGTTTGTTTCTGTGTGATCTGTGTTGTATATGTTTCAAGTTTGAATCCAGCAAATCCAGCTTCCATAGGTGTTGTATTTGATCAAATCCAGCAAATTGAGGGCTCAACTTCAATCGGTGATGATGAAATTTTCTGAAATCGCCCTTGAATCGCAGAGAGAGTATTGGGAGAGGAGAGAGAAAAATTTGCCCAAAATGACCTAAAATATTTATATACCTGAAGTAAGTATGTTTTAAGTTGGGCCGGCTACTTCTTCTGCTACAATGAAATTCTTGGGCAAACAGGGCTAAAACAAGATAAAACACCATTTTGGTGTTTCAAGTTTTGAGGCTTTTTACTGAAATGTTTTACAACTATGCAAAACAAACCATAATCAACCAAACATGTTTTGGGCTTCATTTGGACTACTGTAGCGGGCCTAAAACAAAAACAACAAATACAAAGTAGATACCAAACAGGCCCTTAGAAAGAGAATAGATTTTTTTTTATTTATTATTTTAAAAAAGGAGTAAATTTATATTTAGGAAAGAGATAGAAAGAGAATAGAATAGAAAAAGGTAAATTTATATTATAATAAATAAATAAATAATGTACTAAAACTCTTAATTTGTACAGTACTTGTACTACTAATAAGTATGATACGTAAATTTATATATTTATTTATTTATTTGTGAATTGCATTAAACTTTTCTTGTCCTGTAGCATTTTTCGGTAAATCGTACTTTTATTTATTATTATTTTTTTGTTCAAAAAAATCCAATCTTGACTTGCAATAAACTAACCAGGGTGACTTTTTGTTTTTTTTTTATACCAAAAATACCCCCACCAAGTCAAGAGGAATTTTATGCAATTCGCCTAATTATGTGAATTTAGTTAAAAGATTCTAGTTTTTTTTTTTTTTTTCTAATTCTTTCTTAAATAGTAATATGTGTATTTATATTTTTTGTTATGTGCATCATCATGCTTTTATAACTACTAGCAAAATTGTAAATTAATCATTGAAGAATATAAAAAATAATCATCATAATATTACAACATCAAATAAAACTATTATATATTATATATCATAATAATACTAATAATAATGATGTTCATTCATGTGATTAAAATCATATAAATCATAAAAATAAATATTAATTAGTTAAAATAAAAATAATTACTACATATACAAACATAATTATACAAATTAGGTCCATAACAATGACTACAAAATAAAGAATACATTAACAAACATTTTTAAAAATGAATAGTTGGTGTTTAATAGAACTCTTTGTTTAACAAATAATAATAATAATAATAATAATAATAATAATAATAATAATAATAATAATAATAATAATAATTTGTATTTGTAACCTCTTTAGTGATTTTGTCCAAGGTTAAATGGGCATTCCATCCACAATTGATGGACATCAGTAGCAACAATGCTTATAGGCACTTTGCAATATATAGATGTTAATGTGTGAGTAAATAAATTGTATAATTATGTGAAGTAAATGTTTATATTCATAAATCATGGAAGGAAAAACTAACCTTGGAGATATATATATACTCAGGATCCTTATGATCATCTAATATTCCATCCCTTTTGTCATCACTTTACTCGCTGGAATTGACTACACAAGAATGAAAATCATAAAAAATAATCCGACTGGGTGCATCAAGTTTTGATATACATAAATATGGTAGGTGTATAAAATTGATGAAAACGTATACATGTATATATAATATCGAAAATGAAAAGACATGTGATGTAAGAAAAATAAATTTTTTTTTATAAAAAGTTTGTGAAGTAAACTATTAAAAAAAATACAATTTATAACTAATGAAATAATAATTATGTTTGAAAAAATTTAGTATACGCAAAAAAAAAAAAAAAAAAAAAAAAAAAAAAAAAAAAAAAAAAAAAACTTTTTTAGAATTCCAAACTAAATATGAGTTAACAAATAGATATAGATATAGATATAGATACAAAATTGTTAACAATTATAATAATTTGGTGCCTTTTAGTGTGATTAATTTGGTACTTTTTAAAATTCCAAACGGAATAGGAGGTAACAAATATAATAATTGTTTTTAGAAAATATTTAATGTAAAGTATTTAATGAAAATTATTTTGTATTTTTGAAAAATTTTAAAATGTTAAAAATTTCTTACACTTTGATAAAAATGTTAAGAGTTGGGCCTCAAAGGAACTCCTGTGGGGTTAGTCGGGCATTTCATTTTGTCTGGCTACCATTTCTTTTTGTTTATGATATGTAAGCCCAAATAGGCCCATTTGACGTTTTGCAGGCTTGGAGAGTATGGGAGTGGATTCTTGACTAAAAATCTGCAAATTTGAGTATAATTTTTTTTTTTTTTTTAATAGAATTTTTGAATAAGAATATAGATTTAAATGAATAGGTGATAATATTACATATACATAATTCAATTAACCTAGATGTTATAGTGGATAAAATTTTGGAAGATAGAGGAAATCCGAATAACTTTTGAGTTATTTGATGCACGAGATTTTAAAATATTTTCTTAACTTGAAAAAATTGTATAGTCTTCCAAATATTCAATTGTCTTATATAAAGATTTGATGATAATGAGAGAAATCGAAAGAGAAAGCCTAAACGTTTAACAATATTATATTAATTAATTAATTAAATTGTTGGTGTGACGTCTTAATTTCGATAGGATTAAATATTTGGAGACAAATTTTTTTAAAGAGATCGTATATATACATTCCAATTCTCACTTGTTTACAAAAATAAATAAATAAAAGTATCACATCCGTACATATCACGGACCTATTTTTTTGGATTCGTATTTTACTAATACTGTGAATATACATACATATATATATATATTGCATTTTATCGTTTAAATACCTTAAACCCCTTTGTGTGGAAAACCCTAAAACCCAAGAACCTGCCTCTTCTAGACCCTTCTCCTCCCTCCAATAACAATACCTCCTCACGCCGTCAAATTGTTTCGTCTCTCTATCTAACCCGCTCTCTTTCTCTCTCTAGGCTACTCTAGTCTCTCTGTTTCGAAAACATGTACCGTTTTGCAGCAAACCTTGCTTCCAAAGCTCGGTACTTTCACCAATCCCTCTTCACATCTTTCGCTCTTCATTGTTTATATCACATATGTCTGCATATCATTTGATTTGTTTTCATTTGTCTGCATATCATTTGATCTGTTTTTTCTAATCAATCACTCGCTTTTATTGGTTCCGCAGGATTGCTACTAGCAGAGGCCAACAGGTTATTCTCATTACATCTTATTGATTTCAGAATACAGTTGTTTTATTTTGTGTATATATGTGTGGGTTTATATATATGTGTGTTTTTACATATTGGGTTATGCAGATTGGCAGTAGATTTGTTTATATATGTTTATGTTTATGTGTATGGGTATATATATACAGGTATATGTATTTATTTGTGTTTTTACATATTGGATAATGCAGATTGGTAGTAGATTGAATTGGAACAGAAACTATGCCGCCAAAGACATCAGATTCGGAGTGGAAGCTCGGGCTTCGATGCTAAGAGGTGTTGAAGAGCTCGCCGATGCAGTCAAAGTAACCATGGGCCCGAAGGTACTTTACATACCCCCAACTTCTATTTCTTTATTGCTTTTATTTTTTTATTCCTGCGAATGTATTGAATTTGTATGACATTCCTTTATGCCAAGGATGTGTGTTTGTAACTGTTGCTGATCACACAAAGTTTGAAAAGCAAACTTTGGGAAATTACTTGCATTTGTAGCTCTATGTTCAAGCTCGATTACTAACAAGAACCATGTGTTTTAGTGTTTGATCTGTTGTGAAAGTTTAAAACTTTTGCAATTGTCAGTCTTTTACCAGTCGTATATAGTTGTGGTTGGTTTTATTTTCTTGAAGGGATGCTATATAATTCTTTTTTTTGTCCTAGGTAGGATGCTATGTAATTCTATAATGTATCCTTATGATCTGTTATGAAGATATACTTGCTTGTATACGATCAATGTTTTGTTGCTGGAGTTCACTTCCTGTATTGTTATTTCAAATGAGCAATACAACATTTTATCTTTTTCATAAAATCAGTTGAAAAGATGGCAACTTTATTTGAGATAGTGTGTCACGCACACTGTTAAAGGTGTGCTCCTTTGTGTAATTGCCTGCTAGTCCAACTTCTCTAATTTTGTAGGGTGCCTTTAGTGCAAACAGCTCCTGTATTCATTTTTCTAGTCCTGTTACAAATTTTGTCCATATAGTATCTTATTCCCGGTTGGCTTTGATTTTGGCTTTTGTTTTAGTTTCTTGAAGGTCCACTATTTGTTGATTGAACAAAGTTGCTTTCATTCTTTTAAATGAGTTGTATCATATAGTCTAAACATTGCTATTTGATGCTTGAAGGGCCGGACTGTGGTGATTGAACAAAGTTATGGTGCTCCCAAAGTGACAAAAGATGGTGTAACCGTTGCAAAGAGCATTGAGTTCAAGGACAAGGTCAAAAACGTTGGAGCAAGCCTTGTCAAACAAGTTGCAAATGCAACCAATGATGTAGCAGGGGATGGTACATTTTATTTCTTGCAGCATTAGAGGGATTTTCTAGATATTCATTTCCCCCCCCTTCATTTCCCCTTCTTCTCATCTATCGGTCTTGAAATATTGACCTAGGGCGATCCAAGGCCACTAGGACAAAGGTAGACCGGTAGACATTCAAAGTTTACATATTGCTAATTTGATGATTGAAGCGTCCTATTTATTTTTTATAATTTAATGCATACATTTATTTAAATGATGAAAAGAAAGCATCTAATCATTCTTATGTTACTTTTATATATATGGTATAATGTCCACCTTATGGAACGTCACTACTTTTCTTTTCAGGTACCACGTGTGCTACGGTCCTTACCCAAGCAATATTTTCTGAAGGATGCAAATCAGTTGCAGCTGGAATGAATGCAATGGACCTAAGGCGAGGTATTACTATGGCAGTTGATGCCGTGGTAGCAAACTTGAAGAGTAGGGCACGAATGATTAGCACATCAGAAGAAATAGCCCAGGTTTGCCTGCTAGATTTAAATAATTCCCACTAAATTAACATATTGCCATGTGCTTGAGTGCTTACAAGTGAGTGCCAAGTGCTTACAATTGCCGCATAGGAGGTTAGAGTTCAAGTCCCTTGGGGGCAATGGGGGGTGTTTTTGTGTTGAGTCATGAGTGTGCCTACCTACCCAGAAAGGGAAAAAAAAAATGAACAAGTGCTGGGATACTATGACAGAAATGATTTTTTATTTTTTGTTCGCACAGTGACTGATATCATGTAATCTAATAATAGGTGGGTACAATATCTGCAAATGGAGAGAGAGAAATTGGTGAGCTGATTGCAAAAGCAATGGAGAAAGTTGGCAAAGAGGGAGTCATCACAATTCAAGTATGTTACTTACTCTTGACATGTAGTCTAACTACAATTCTGATTTTTGGAGCATAAGCTTGATCAAGTAGTTTGTGGTATTGGAAAATTCTATTGGATTCGCATTGCAGACTTTTTTTTTTTTTTTTTTTTCTCATTATGCAACTGTGTTTTAAATTCTCTAATTCATCTTTTCATGTTTAAAGTTACTTTTGAATTCCGTATACTTAATGTGCTAGAGAAGATTAATCCAGTGTTATGGGGAAGCACTTATCAAAATAAATTAGGCTGCTTGAAGAATCTTTGAACAATATTAAGTCTCTTTACTGTAAACATTTCTAAAATCTTTTACAAAGCCATTGTTTCACAATATTTAAGTCTCGGCATGACAAGTTTATGACAGTTATAAATCTTAAACATGCAAAAATGTGGCAACTTCTCTCATCTGTTTTTAAGATCCAATCCCTGTCTTCCTAATGGCAGGTGTTTGAGTCTTGTGAGGAATGTTGAAAGAAGTCTAAAATGAAGACAGTGAATTTGTTAAACCTGCATTGCTGTTGTAAATAACTTGATTTGCTAAAATTTTGTAGTACAAAACAAAAATAAAAAAGCAAGAAGAAGAATAAAGAGCTCCTCAACTATGGGGGCATCTTTGATAATAAATATCTTACAATGACTTCTGAAAAGGGTAGAAGTCATCACCTCTTCCCTATTTTAATACTGTGCTGGCTAACAAGTTTTGATCAAGTTCCCAGATCATCTTCTTTTCCTTTTTTTTTTTTTTTGTCCCTTTAATTCGTAGAATTAGGTGTACACTTGGCTATTTTTATGTATTTCTATCACTCTCTAGCCTAGTTGTTGGATGGGAGGCAGTTTATCGATCTTTTCTTTATCATACATGCATTACCCTGTTTTTATTTATTTCTTTAATCATGCTTCAATTGCCCTTTCATGTATTTTTTATTTTTATTTCTTTAATCCTTCTTTAATTGTCCTTTCATGTATATTTTAGTTATACACATTTTGAGGGGGTTTGGTTTGGTACGATGCGTAAGGGATATTTTTCCAAGTTTATACAGTATAAATCGTACTGACTTCATGTTGAACAACTGTAGGATGGGAAGACATTGTATAATGAATTGGAAGTTGTTGAGGGTATGAAGCTGAACAAGGGTTACATATCTCCATATTTCATCACCAACCAGAAGAACCAGAAATGTGTAAGTCTGTTTAATCTTCAATTAATTTCTCAGCAAATAAGTTTTGTATCATTGTGGCAGATTCCTGATTGAAAAATGTTTACTTCTGTTGTTATTTTTACGAGCTCATTGGTGTCCTCGTTAGACTAAGAATCTTTCATGTCTGCTGTAGGAATTAGAAGACCCTCTCATTCTTATCCATGAAAAGAAGATCTCCAGTCTAAATTCAATTGTGAAAGTATTAGAGTTTGCTTTGAAGGTAATGAATCTCATTTAGATTTATTTATCGTAGTATCTACGTCTTAAGTATCTTTTACTATGCTATTCATTAGTTATCAAGATTGTGTTGTCTATGTACAGAAACAAAGGCCACTGCTGATTGTTGCAGAAGACGTGGAAAGTGATGCACTGGCAACTCTTATTCTAAATAAGCTTCGTGCTGGAATCAAGGTTTCATGTTTTCTAATTATATGTTCAAAAAAGTTTGTTTTTCATTTCATCTTTTGACACTTTTTAGGTACTTTATAATGTGGATTGTGAATCTTATAGGTTTGTGCCATTAAAGCTCCTGGATTTGGAGAGAATAGGAAGTCTAATATGCAGGATCTTGCCACTCTTACAGGAGGCGAGGTAAGTTTCCATTGTCCCAGATATGTTCTTTACTAAGAAGCACGGACACGGATACGGGACACAGATACGACACGACACCGACACGGCGACACGGCAAATCCAAAAAAATTAGGACACGGACACGGCGGGGACACGGCGAATAGTATATAGATATATATATATATATATATATATATATATATATATGATGTAGTACTTAAGTGTTACTATTTTTCATCAACCTCACAATGAAAAAAAAACACAAATCATAACTCATAACTAATAAACTATAAAAGAACAATGTTGCAGAGTTATAAAACCAAATAAAAAACAAGACATTAGAATAATAACTAGTATCATTTAATCATCATTGCAACTTTACTCCAACTACAAAAGCATAGACAGAAAGGATTATTAACATTAATGACTGTTTAACATTCAGGACTTTACTGTTAGCACTTAACATTCACAAAAACCTAAAGGCTAGTCTCCAAAAAAGATACAAAAACAAGTTAGTGTACTATCATCTATTCCCATTGACCTAGGACTTTTACCATTTACAGTTCCAAAAGGGTAGTACAAAACAAAAAAAAGAACATATTAGCATTCAAAAATAAATAAATAAAAATCCAGAATTGTCCGCGTCTGTGTCTGTCCGAGCTGTGTCCGTGCCGTGTCCGAAAATTCAAAAAAAAATAAAAAATTCCAGACACGTTTTTTGGCGTGTCCAACACGTGTCGGGGCGTGTCCGACTCGTGTCCGTGTCGGACACGGATTCTTCGCCCATTTTGGAGTGTCCTTGCTTCCTAGGTTCTTTACAACTTTATATTTATATGAATTGCCCTGACTGTGAATCCTCGTGTTATAGCTTATAACTGAAGAACTCGGTATGAATCTGGACAATGCTGATTTGGATATTCTTGGCTCATGTAAAAAGGTAAGCTAATAAGGTGCATACATAAGCTTTGACTGTGTATACTTTAGGTATACTTTTTTTTGACATTAATAGTTTTATTTCTACATGACTAAATTAGGATTGAATTTCTATTTAGAATCTAGAAGAGTGATGTTACAAATCACCATTTATTGTATGATTAACAGCGGTTCTTGTTTTAGGTCACAATATCTAAGGACGATACTGTTATTCTTGATGGTGCCGGTGAGAAGAGTGCCATAGAGGAAAGATGTGAACAGGTTTGTTTCTTCCTTCCAACACATCTTTAATCCTCCTACTGACTAGTAGCATTTATTTGGCTATTTGTTTATTGAAAAGCAATGGTTGACCAGAGCTTCTGTATGTTTTATCAGATTCTAAATTGATTTGTGCTGCCTACTTTTGCACTTACAGATTAGATCGGCAATTGAATCAAGCACTACTGATTATGATAAAGAGAAGTTGAAAGAGAGATTAGCTAAGATTTCTGGTGGCGTAGCTGTCTTGAAGGTCTGCTCTTCTCTGAAATTGTTTTTGATATGAACTTGGTAAAATGAAACAATTCTATCGTTCCCAATCTTATGCTCATTATACTGCCATACTCATACTGCTGTCACTGCATATGAAGTGGTACCTACAAAGAACACCACAATAACAGCAAACAAAGCCTTTTCCCAACTGCTTGGGCTTGTTGGCTACATGAATCCTATGCTTCAATTCCGCTCTATCTAAGGCCATATCCTCAGTCAAACCACACGTTAACTTTGGTCTTACCCTTCCCCAAACATCACCCCTCAATGTGGACCATGTCACTCTTCCTAACTGGCACACTTGACTTTTGTGCACGTGTCCAAACCATCTTAACCGATTTTTTTTCCATTTTATCTCCAAGTAGCACCATCTTACCAATGGTACCTACAAAGAACACTATAATATGAATTTACTTTTCTTTGTAGATTGGAGGAGCTAGTGAAACTGAAGTTAGTGAGAAGAAAGATAGGGTAACGGATGCTCTAAATGCCACAAAGGCAGCTGTAGAAGAAGGAATTATACCAGGTAATTTTGTTTACTTGTCTGTTCCTGCGTGAGATTTAACCGAGAATTGGAGATGGATAATAACCAAGATATTTTTTGTGCAGGTGGTGGTGTTGCTCTTCTTTATGCAGCAAGAGAATTGGAAAGGCTATCAACGGCCAACTTTGATCAGAAGATTGGTGTTCAGATTATTCAAAATGCTATAAAGGTCTGAATCCTATATCGATCTGTGACAATTTAAGTAGTATGGACATTCTTAAAAAACTATTTCTGCAACTTTAATGTGTACATTGCTCACCCTTCAAGTTGTGCTGCGACTGAACCTTTGTTGAGTGTTTTTTGTAAATTTCATCTTAAATGGTAAATTCCATCACATGGTTGACACTTTCAGTTATTACCTCAACAAATGACCTTACGTTTTGTTGGTGTCTGGTTGCACACTCAAAAATTGAATGAACACATTGCAAAATGCCCTTTTTTCTTAGAAAATCTGGTTGCAAGTATATAAACTCGACAAGTAGTATTGGTTAAAAATAATTATAACGGAAAAAATATAGTAAAAAGAGGAATAGTGGTTGTGTAGTTCCACAAGTTGTGGTATATTCTTCGTTTTATTGATGAAGTGGATTTCTTTGGGCTCTCACAAATTTTTTAACTTCAAATTTCAGACACCCGTCCGCACAATTGCTGCTAATGCTGGAGTTGAGGGGGCTGTTGTTGTTGGAAAGTTGTTGGAGCAGGATAACCCTGACCTTGGATATGATGCAGCAAAAGGTCTGCAGATTTATTCATATTATCAACTAGAGGGTTATTTTCCTCTCTCTCTATTGGCTTGTATGTAACTGTTGCTTCTCTCTTGCACGATCAGGTGAATATGTAGATATGTTCAAGGCAGGAATTATTGACCCCTTGAAAGTAATAAGGACTGCTTTGGTTGATGCTGCGAGGTAACCTGAAGAAAGCCTAGCCTATTTTAGGTTTTTTGTTTTCCTGATATGGTTCCACATTTGGATGTCTCAATCGATCTTCATGTTGTTTTCTCACCTTCTTGCAGTGTGTCGTCGTTGATGACCACGACTGAAGCTGTTGTGGTTGAACTTCCGAAGGTCGAGAATGCAGCTCCAGCAACGGGCGGTGGCATGGGAGGCATGGGTGGCATGGGAGGCTTGGACTATTGATGATTGTTGTGGATGGTGCGCCATTTGGGAGTCCGGCATACATTATTTTCTAGACAAGTAATTGTTAGGGTTTTGCCCATAATTTAAATTTAATCAAGTCATTTATGAAGTTCAGGCATCCATGTAACCATAGTGAGAGAGAACAGTCGGGCATTCTGATGACCTAGGGTAAGTCAGATTAGGGTGCAAGGAACGATCACCATTGTTAACATTATCTCATAAGGTGTCTTCCATTCTTAATCGGCATTTGAGAAATATTTCATTTTGTTGTTTCCTTTTTTGCCTTCCTATTGAGTAGAAATACTCACCAAATAATTATTTAGCTATACATTCATGGTTTGGCATTTCTGAAGTGAAAAGAAAAGCCCAATTGATAGCTGCATTTTTTTGCATTTAATTCATTATCACATTCTTTAGGTGACTTAAAACACCAAAACTTGATGTTAGGTGGTGACTTCATTCTTTAGGCCCTATTTACCTTTTGTCGCATTTAAAGTCTTATTTTCTCACTAACACCCTCGTTCACATCCTTAGCACATGCATTCTTCATTAGGTGGTGTTGTAGGGAAAATTAGGGTAATGGGTTTTAGAATGTTAACTGTAAGTGTTTATGGATTGTTTTACATTTCTGGTCTTGCCATATTTAAAAGTGGCAGTAATAATGGGTGAAAAAAGCATTTGTTAATTTTTATTTTATTTTGGAGTGAAGTTCTTAATATTCGAGTTTTTCAATTTCTGGGCTGGCCCAAAAAAAAAATATTTCTGGGCTGTTTATGAGGTCTACTTTTAACCATCTGGGTAATATTTCTGTGGATGGGATTAAAAAAAATTTCTAAATTCTGGTTAATTTTGAATTAAATCACAAACAAAATCTTATTTGAAATGTAAAATTCTAAAAATTATAAACAAATGTTAAAGGTATTAATTCTCAGTATTATATCTAATTGGCATTACGTGACCTAGTAAATTAAGATTTAATAAAAAAGAATTTGAAAAGAAAAGGGTGTTCGCAAGAATCTGGGTTTGGGTTGGGCTCACATCTCAATCCAATTCCAACCCCAATCAAGTTTGAATTGGGTTTTTGCAAATCTAAGTTCAACCTTAATTGTAAAAGTGGTTGTTAAAGCGCGAGTTTGGGTTAACCCATCCAGTTGCACCGCTAGCGAACACTTAGTGTTATTGATCTAGCCATCAGATTTCTCCTGTTCCTGTGTTTTCATATTTTTCCATACGTGGTTTCTATGTTTATCATATACAACATATTTGATCATTGAAAGCTCTTGCATCAAAAACCACTTGAATTTAAGACCAAGTATTAAATTGTGCATATAAGCTTCTTAATCAATCTCGTCACTCTGTTTAAATTTATCAAGCCTAACAACAAACAATTATAACGCTCCAAAAATTATGACTATTAACTAAAATTTTTAAGAAGACAAGTATACATTAAGGTCATAACTCTCTTCTATGAAAGCTCTACAACGCTAAGGCCGTTGAAATGAACACACCATAATGCAGTTGGAGTGAATCTCAAGAACAAAGTGGGATCGTTAGGCATTCAAACACCAGTCAGCAAAATTCCAAACTCACCTATCTCAATAATATGTGAAGTTGTAAACTAGCTCTGATATTCCATTTTATAGCAAAACCATGTCACGTCCATAAACCAAATCCTTTTGCAATGAAAGACATTTTTAAATTATGATATACCTCATTTTAGAACTATATCAGGTTTGTGCATACTTGAGGCCATGCCTCACATTTATTAGTTCCCCCAGATGATCCTGAAGATGAGAATTAATATTAATTCAGACAACCATGCATTTTGCAAAAGAAGAAAAATAATGGGAAAGACAGATGGTTTAGAATACCTGATATAATTTCTTCTTGACACACCTCGGATCGAACTCAGCAAATTACATGTCCTGATTCTGTGAATCAGAACCACGCCTCCTGCTTTAATCAAGTGGTTGATTGCTTTCAGTTAATGGTTGACTGAATATTACTGGATCTGTGGCAGCTTGCTGCAGATTGAAGGAAAGCAAGGTGAAACCTTTTGAACTTTGCTGAATTGTCTACATTGCTAGTTCAATAGCTGGAGTATTCCGAATGCGCTTGGATGATATCTATCAAAGCATCACAATTTCACAGTGCTCAGACCTGGCTTCTTCAACAGCTTCCCATCTTCAAAAATTCTTCTCACTTTTGCTGCTTCATCCCATCTCTTGATCGAGGCATATAAATTTGACAACAACATATGATACCCACTATTATCTGGTGCCAATGTTGATAATTTTTCTCCAGCAAGCTCGCCAAGTTCAACGTTCATATTCATCCTACATGCACTCAAAAGAGCACCCCAAACAGCATCAAAATCCAAAGAATCACTGCTGTCGGAATTCTGATGGAGTCCAGTTTTGATTAATCGATATGCTTCTTCCAGTCTCCCTGCGCGTCCAAACATGTCGATAATGCAAGTCCAATGCTCCAAACCTGGCTGAATTTTATATTCTGTGACCATCATATGAAAGAATCTGCAACCTTCCTCAATCAATCCAGAATGACTGCAAGACGAGAGTAAAGAGGTGAATGTGATGGAATCGGGTCTGCATCCATCTTCTTCCATCTTAGAGAGTAAGTCGCATGCCTCTCTCCCTTGGCCATTAATTCCGCATCCAGTGATCATCACATTCCAGGAGCTTTGATCTCTTAACTTACCCATTTGCATAAACAAGACCTTTGCATTCTCGATGAGGCCATTCTTTGCATAAGCATCAACCAAAGAGTTCATAACTTGTGTTTCAAAATCAAGCCCGAGTTTTATTATATAAGCATGGGCAATTTCACCACCATGACCAGCCAAAACTGCCGCAGAGGCCTGAACAAAAGAGATCATTGTGACTGAATCTGGTTTGTACTGGCTTTCAGATTGCATTTTGCGGAAAACTATCACTGCCATGGCAGAGTGTTCATTTTTGACATACCCAAAGAGGATTGTGTTCCATGTGACGATATTCTTAAGAGACATCAAATTGAAAAGGAACTCTGAACTTTTCACACACCCACATCTCATGTACATATCAATTATGGCATTTTCGACATTAAGATACGAAGAAAAACCTTTAGAAACACAATAGCCATGGTGCATACTCCCTTCTTTTAGCAAACCCAAATCACCACACGATTGAAAAAGCATCACCATTGTAATAGAATCAGGCAGCACATTGGATCGAAGCATTTCAAGGAAGAGAAGCATGGCCTGGTCAGATCTGTGCTGTAGATTATATGCTGCAACCATTGTATTCCATGTTGCAGTGTTGGGCCTCTGAATGCAAGTGAACAATGATTCAGCAGATTTTATATCTGAACACTTCCCATATGCATCTACCATTGCTGTACCTAAAACGACATCTCTATCCATGTCAAGGCCTTTCTTCACAATAAGTGCGTGAATTGATTGAATTATTGTAGTATTTGCTAGGCTTGAATAAGAAGGAATCACATTAGCAAATGTGACTGAATCAGGACTTGCATTCGATTCCACCATCATCCGTTCAAATAAAATTATTGCCTCAAGATCATACCCATTCTGGGAATATCCTGCAATTAACGAATTCCACAAAACCAATGTCTTTTCCAATAAATCTTCTTCAAATATAGCTCGAGCATACTCAACTCTGTTGCACTTCGCATACATATTAACTGTAGCAGTTCCCAGACGAAAGTCGCACAAAAGTCCTGTACAAATCAAGTGGCCATGGATATTCTTCCCTAGACTAAGATTCCCAGCCTGGCCACAAGCTGACAACAAACCTAATAATGTAACTTGGTTTGGAACCAAATCTCCATCTTTCTTCATAGCTAAGAAAATATCAAATGCATCAACCCAATTTCCATTTTGTGCATACCCCGTAATCAATGAATTCCAAGACACTACATCTCTATCATGCATTTCATCAAAAACCCGACGTCCTAAATCTAATCTGCCCATCTTGATGTGCATTGAAATCAAAGAGTTTGCAACAGGAATATGCATATCAAATCCATTTTTAACTACGAAGTCATGAACCAGCAACCCTTTTCCCATGCTCCTCAACTCACCACAAGCCATGATTGCATGACAAACAGTATCCAAATGCGGTAAAATACACAATTTAAGCATTCTTTCAAACGCCACCACAACCTCCTCATAGAACCCTTTAGATCCAAATTTACAAACTAAAGAATTAAACATATCCTCATCTCTCATTGGCATTTCTTCGCTCACCTGGTATGCATCTTCAACCCTCCCAAATTTCACATACATAGAAATTAGACTGTTCCCAATACCAACCCAACTTCCAAATCCGCATTTTATCAAGTAATTATGAATTCCCAACCCAGCATTCAGATGGGATAAACAAGCACATGACATCAAGAGGGAAGGGAACACAAAGAGGTCTGGTTGTGACAAGAGGAGGAGTTTCTTGAAGAGGAAAAGAGATTGTACGAACCGACGACTTTCTGTGAAAATTTTGATTAGGGGACTACATGGGTATGTTGTGGCCTTGCTGGGAAGCAATTCAGAACACAGATGTTTGGAACTTGTTGATGATGAATATAAGACAATGGTTGAGGAGAGGAAATGATCACAGAGCTGATTGAAGCGAGTCCGAGAAGCGATTTTGAGTGATGCAGAGAGAGAAATGCAGTGATTGGCAGTTTGTTTTGCAGATTTGGCATTGGCGGGAAATGGTGAAAGAGTCGTTATATTTGAATCTCTTCAACTGTTAATAATATTAGATGATGATGACTTCTTAGCTTTGTTGCTTTCAGTTGATTTTGAAAAGAGGAAATTACATATATGTGCCCTTTATAAATTTAAATTTCAAAACAGATCCTCTTACTTTTGGTAAATACAATAATTGCCTCCAAGTCTTAGAGAACTCGTAGAGTTTTATGAGTCAAGTGGTAGAAAGATGAACTGAGATAATAAAGTCCAAAACCCTCTTCTCTGTGAGATGAAATAGTCCAAAACCCTCTCCCTGTTGAGGTTTTGCTCCTTTCACGGTAGCAGTCTCTCTGTTAATCAGAGTTGGTGTTTTTTCCACGATGTTGTGTTACGTTGGAATGGTTTCCCTGAATTCTCCGGTCAGTCTTCTCTGTGGGTGGTTGGCTAGGATGGTTTCAAGTTTCCGGCGGGGTGTTGGTTCGAGTGTGTTGACCGGTGGCCAACAGAATGGTCATTATAAGCCAATCTTTCCCTTTGATCCAGGTATTGTGATGGTCTTCTTTATTTTTGTTTTAGTTCTAACTTTCTATATGTATTGTTTTGGTTTCTCTTTAGTCGCGTTGTTGTCTCGGATTTCTATCTATCAATCCGTGGTAAGTGCGGTGGTTCCAGTGGTAGTCATGGCCTATGGGGTCTGGTTGGGTGGTGTTGTTTTTATTTCTCTAGTGGATTCGTGCTTGATGCCTGGGATTTCGCTTTCTAATGGTGCTTTCAGGTATTTGATTTGGATCTTGGTGTGGCCTTCACATAGTATTGTATCATCATGCTGTTTGAGAGTGTTTTAGCCGTTAAAATTGGGAATAAATCTAGGGCTTTGGCGAATCGATCGGGACTCTGTAGCATGTCTTTTGGTCACCAACCGTTCTTTTGCTATGGTCAGAGATGCGTGTATTTCGGCTGCCATTGACTATGGGTCGTGGCTTGGTATTGTCGAAAAGTTTTGTCAAGCTGGTCAAAGAAGGGATTCTGGTGTTGCAAGGATTTTGGAGGTTAGCCATTATCAAAAGAGGTTTGATGTTGTTGCTAATGATATCGCTAAAGGATGTTTGTCGGACTACTGGCCGTACTTTCTGTTTCCGACTCCGGCGATTACTCGACGACCTCAATCTGTGCTGTAATGTTTTGTGTCAGACGAGGGCTTTAAAGTCAACCATTGGGTTTGGTGCTAGTGGCGTTGCCGTCACGCAACGAAGCTTTCATACGCTTCTAAAATATGTTTTCCTTATGTGGTTGAGGATGCAAAATAGGCATGACTATATTGGGCCCATGGCTTATTAATGTCTCATGCACATAATGACAGGGGTTTTCACTTTATCGATGCGGTTCTTTCAAGGATAGCCCATCCTCTCTAGTTGGACCGATAATTGTTGTTTCTTTTGTGACTAGGTCTAAATCAAGAAAGTGTTGTTTGTGTTGATCTTTTCTGTAAGAGCATCTCCAGTAGTCTGTTAAAATACTCTTTTGTGTAAAATATACACTGCCACGTATGATATGTAAATTTTTTTTTATCTCCAGTAGTCTTTTAAGATATACTGTCAAATCACCAATGTGTAAAATTGTTGTGTATTTTACACAACATTTTTACACAGCCACATCAGCATATTTCCTTTCTCCTCCTTCTTTCTCATTCTATTAATCAATCAACCATATATTAAGTATGTTTGTAAAAATTATATGGGGTTCAGGTATGACATTGGTTGGTTGTTATTAAGGGATATATTTTTACACAAAAAGTATAAAACAACTGCCGGAGCTCAAAAAGAAATAATTCAAATTTTTTGCGTAAATCTATTATGATACATTAGATTTACACAAAAAAACATATATACACAACGGTTGGAGATGCTCTAAGTGCCATTAGGCTTTGCCGGGTAAAAAAAAAAAAAACTGAGAAAATAAACTAAATGCATAAATAAATACACTAACTTTTTTGGGTTACCTTGTAAAGGACAATGGTTTGTGAATAGTCCAGACAAAAATGATTTTAATCATATTAGATGCGAAGTGGTTAAGTAGACAAATTGTAAACTCAAACGTCTTGTTATTCGTGATTTGCAAGTGATTTCACGTATCGAAATCACTTGATTAAAAATATTTTTCATTTAAAATAAAAAATAAAAAACTCCGAAAAAAATAAAACTTAAAAATTGATCAAATAGAGCTCCCAGCTCCCTGAGTGGATATGCTCGTTTTCGAGTCCCCCCTCCTCCTAGTTTGCCAAGAAACAAATCTTGTATGCCAAAAGTCTCCCTCATGCTCTCTCTAGAATTTTGGGTGAAATTTCTTGTAGTCCAATATGTTCATGTCTATATACATACATACATTATGTATATATATATATGTATATAAATATATATATATATAGATATATACACTTATAACTTGTTCTTAATCTTGTCATAATTTGAGTCCAAATCTGAAACAAGGGGTTATTTGGAGTCTTGTAGAAGGAGGTGAACTATGTCCCTGCTCAGACTACTCTCTACACTTCCATATGCATTCCTGCCAACTTCCACCAAATCCAATTTTCCATGCATTTCAACTTACACCCCCAAAAGGTGCACTGACTCACTCTAAAGGACACACCTAAACCCAATCAAAACTCACCTAACAACACACCATTCACATATTGATATCATGAAAACCAGTTCACCTCAATAAAAACAAGTAATGTTAAGACAAAAAAAAAAAAAAAAAAAAAAAACAGCAGGAAAGTGATAGTGGTTAAGTAACAATCATACTCTAAGTATGTACAAGGAAACATGGATTAATTGGTAAAAGCACATGGCAACATTGAACCAACCACTACCATATATATATATATCAAGTGTTGAGCTCCCAATGACTACCAAATTAATTTTGGAAGTTTAATAAAAGTGGTAGACATTAGACTTGGGATATATGACCCACCAAAAATCTGCATATATTAAGCGCATTTGCCCAATGTAATTTCCCTTAATCAAGGGATACATATATATATATATATTTTTGGGTATAATTTGCACAAAATCATTTATCACAATTAAAGTGTCGAGTTAAATCACATTTTTATACTTGTATTTGGAGCACTGAATCGATATTTTGGATTTAGAATTAAAAAAAAAAAAAATTAGGATGTCATTGGCTGCATGGAATTGGAGTCTTGAAATTAAAATTGAAATTGGAATTGGAATTGGAATTGGAATTGGAATTGGTGGAATTCGAGAAAATTTTGGTTCATTTTTTTAGTTGTTTTTATCAAATTTCACAAATTTTAATTCAAAGTTTCCAATTTCATGTAACTGAAAACATCCTTAGTTCAAAGTGTTAGAATTAGAAAAAAATTAGTTCAAACTTTAAAATAAATTTCCATCAATTTCGAAGCTAAAACATCGATTCACTACCCACAAGCATAGCATTATAATTTTTATTAATAAAAGAATTGTAATTTGGGATTGTAAAACATATATACACACATATGGAATTTTAAAGGACTTTTAAATCACTCCTCCAATTTCGGTTGCTTATTTCACTGTAACAATTATATTCCATATTTATTTTATCTTTTTTTTTTTTTTTTTTTGGGTTCATTTTACTAATTAATATCACTCGATGGATTGAATTTTGGTCCATGGTAGCAGCACCTTGGTATTAGATTGAACTGCTCGTGGATAACAGCTTTTCAAAAGAGTCTCGAGCACCGTTCCCCCCTGTCCCAACGGTCTCTAAAAGCTCTTACAAACGCGTCAAAATGGTCCCACTCCTTCTAGAATATATATATATATATATATATATATATATATATAAGCAATTAGTCAACATGCGGTATTATTGTGACCCCCCTAGCCTGTCTTCTGTTGTTTGTCTTGCTTCACCCTTGATCAAGCATATTTCATCTCTCAAACCCAATACATTTTTTTACATTTTTTTTCTTTTTCTTTCTTTAGTACTAATTTATTATAGTGAATTACTTAACTGAATATTTTTGACTAATTATTTATGTACTATATAAGTAAGTAGAGGGCCACTCTTTCTTGTTTGTTACATAAATAATTAATTAAAAGAAGTATGTTTGACAATTTACTACAATATATTAGTGTAAGTATCATTTTCAAATTGACTGTTTAAATGAGTCTGAATCCTCTATGATACGTTATATCGCATGAAAAAGTTGTGATCACTCACAAATATAGACCGTATGGTGTGGACATTGCATGCGTATGACTGATCACAATCTTTATATGTATGTAAGAGTGATCACAGTCGTCTATTTTTGTCCTAATTCACTAATAAACACTCTCAAACAATACATGATGCAAAATAATGTTAAAAGTTAGGTTTGGATATATATATATATATATATTCAATTAACAAAGAATGATTTGGGCCCCAACTCATTTTGAGTCACATAATAATTTTTAGGCCATCTGACTATTAATATTAAATTTTATTATTGTTTTTTTAAGGAAAAGAAAGAAAGACAACTTTTTAACAATAATAACGTTTTCCATTAAAATTTTCAAGATATATTCTTTGAAAATCATTTACTTGAACTCCAATTTGCTACCTACGATTATCACTAAGCATATTTATACGTGAAAACGTCAGGAAATATTATTATTATTATAATTATTGTTATTATTATGACATGATGGGAAGAAGTCAAATCAGGAGAAATTGAGTAATACGGAGTAAGTGTTTTGCAACATTACACATTTCATACACTTCAAACACTTACTGTACTATTTATTAAATTATTCTCATTTTATTCCTTGTTTGGTTTAAAGAAATGAACCAAAATCATATTCATTATACTTAAAAGAGCTAACAAAGCTCGGTGACATTGATTAGAGCATTATGACAACATGAAAAAAGAGAGATCAGCAAATAGTTGCAGATCAACGGCTGTGATCCTAGGTAGCAGTTTGCTTAAAATACTATTTTTTGTTAAAATCCCTTCTTTTTGTTTCTTTTAATTTTTTAAAAAGCCCTTTTCAAGCTTCTGCTTCTAAGTGTTCATGGTCTTCCCAAAGAGCTTCATTCAGTTTCTTCTTGCTGAGGATTGTGTAAGCCCAAACACACACTCCAAATCAAGAAGATAAAAAAAAAAAAAAAGGTTAGTTCTCTTTGCACTCAACCAATTACTGACCATTTCTTGCTTCATTAGTGTCATTTTCTAATGCCATTTCAATTGCATGTTGTTTGTTACTGACATTGTTGTTGTTCTGCAATTTCATTTGTCAGATCTTTTTAGTACTCTCCTTCTTATGGTATTTAAACAAATTCACACCTCATTTGCATACATTGGAAATATATTCACTTTTTGGGCATTGTTTGTACATAATGTAATTTAATTATTTTCAATACTATTTCTGGAAATTCATTTGCTTAAGTAGAGAGAGTTCTTCTTCACTTGTGAGAAAATGTGGGGAATTTTTCAGCTTTACTGAAAATTTTATATTTTTTTAATCATATTTTCTCTTGAATTTTAAAGGGTCTTTTCTTGTATATGTGAATTGCTCAGAGAAGTGATGTTAAAGTAGCCAAGTGATTGTTATCCATTGCTTGTACTTAATTTGGCTTTGAATTATTAATTTATTTTGTGAATATGTAGAGAAAATTCAATCTTGGTTGGTGGGTAGTTGAAGGAAGCTTCAAGGTCACATTTCAGCTGTAAATTTTTTCGTAGTGGAATATTTATCTCATAAATTGTATTTAATTCAGGTTTTCTTAGTTGTGAAAGTAATTAGTTACATCTCATTGATTGAAGCTCAGTGTTTCCAGTCGCCATTCATGTTAGCTTGGCAATATGAATATCTTGTGTATAGAAATTTGAAACTTCCATTTTAAATGGTGGGTGATGTGTGCGTGTGTGTGTGTTTTTTTTTACCTTTTTTTTTGTAGTTCCCAATTTCCCATTATTGATTATTCTGCACTATTATATGAGTGAATTTTATTTGATGAATGTTGCAGCATTTGTAATTGCAGAATGGGTGAGTCTGCTGAAAGAGTCGAGGTTGAGGTGGTAGGGATCGAACCTAGCACTTCCGAGGTTGCTCCATGGGGATCATTGGAGCAGAAGAGTGTCGAATGCTCAGTAGAAAGGAAGAAGTCCTTACGAGCCCGTTATTCATATGGCATTATTTTTTTGTTTATAAATCTTGTTGCTTGGCTGGTTCGTGATTACGGACAAAGGGCTTCCCCTCAGCTCCATTGTGAGTCCCTCTTGAACTGTAATGAATATGCTATGTTCTTTTATACTGATATTTAGGCAACGATTTCAGAAACTAGTATGCAAATAATTATTCAGTCTCTTCTTCTAGCATGAGCTCTACATTGTCAATCTCCACAGGTAGCTAATGACATTTTATTTTGCAAGCCACATTCTTGTTTATAGTGTAAATAGGGTTCCTGAAACATGGTCAGAATCGAATTTTATAATCTTGTCATCTGTTTTTGTGCGTGTCTCTACTTGTGTGTTATGTGTCGAAGTCCTCCAATTTCTGGTTAACCCTTCTGAAAGAAGATGAACTCGAAATAATTATTATTTTTAGATATGATTATTTCATGATGCTGTTTTGTTTCTTTGGTGGTCTTGAAATTTTTTGCAGATCTAAAAGCTTGTGGAATTGGGGGACATGATTGTTTTCTTACAATGGGAGTTCTTCGTGTCAGTTTAGGATGCTTCGTATCTTTCTTTTTAGCTGTATAATTAGTACTTTCTTGTGAGAATTGTTTATTTGCGTCTTCATTTATCAGAGATGAAAAAGTAGATGCTGAAATTTTGGCGCTTGAATTTCAAAAACCCTGCATTCATCAGCTTGTTGTCAGAAAATGGTGACTAGAATAATCAATTAAAGGACCTCTTCTTCTGATACTATCTCTTAACATGGTTTTGCTTTCATATCTGAGCTTCGAAAAACATAATTCCCATTCTAAATACAGGGCTTACCAGATTCGAACCTAATAAACGGGAGACTGCCATATAGTCCAATGCAACACTTCTCTAAATTAGACATTTTTTCTGCTACTCATTCACTCTCAACAGTTCATCCGTAGCCAATCACGACTTGTGTGCAATGGAAAAGCTAGGCTGCAGCAGTTGAGGTTTAATTAAGAAGAGTCTGATGATTCCTAAGAACTCTATTAGTCATTTTTTTTTATATTACTTAGTTAATATTCACATCATTTTTCTTTACAATTTATCGTCCTTGACATGCAATTCAGATATTTTTCTTTGTAATGTTTCTTACAACATGTAAAACAAGCAAGTTGTATGAAGCTCGCAGTGCATGGCATTCTGGATGGTGGGCACTGAAGTTCGCGATATTGATTTTCTCACTGGTAGTTCCATTCTTTATCCCATCAGATTTCATTCAATTATACGGTAAGCTTATGAGGCCTCAGCAAAAGACCCTGAAATTTTGAGTTTGTTTCATGCTAGTTTAAACTTCTTACTCGAATGTGAAAACAAATGAAAAACCAGCACGGACTTACACATCCTAAGGGCACTGCTGCAGTTGAACTTGCACCTTTTTCTTTCCTATAAAAAGTGTATCATCTTTTCCTGCTTTATTAATTACCATGAATAAAGGATTGTTACTATCTTCTCGCAGGTGAATTTGCTCGTGTTGGTGCAGGGTAATCCTCAAATCCTTTATCTCACATATTTCCACCAAAAACCATGATTATTATGAAATTATTTAGTTTCACTCTCAGTTCTTTACCAGCCATGTTCTTGAATGGACCTTTTTTTCTACCTTTCAATCAGTGAAGTAGAACAAAGTTGCAATTCTATGTTTAAATGACGATATCAACTTTGTTTTAGCATTGTCCTTTCTATTTATGAGCTTATCCAATCATCTTTTCTTCCCTGAAAGAGTGGATCAACAATGTGATGCAATTGAAAACTTGTGTAACCTAAACTAGGGCAGCCCAATAATCGTTCAATTTAACCAATGAAGCTAAGATGAACACAACTTCAGAGAGCTTTTTTATTTTTTTACTTCTCTCTATTTGTTTCTCAATCATTTACATCTGTAGAGAAACACAAGTGCTTATTTCTCACGCATTTTTTTCTTTTTTACCATGTCAAGAAACTCGAACACTGACTTTTGCCCCTATGGGGACTTAAAGTCTTGACTCAAGGAGATAGGTTTTATTTTTCATTTAAAAGCAGATATCACTATTTCAAACTTTGACAGCCATATTAGCTAGAAGTTTAATTTTGTCACCGAGAAGTGAGAATATTGCTGATGATATTTATATTTTCACTTCCTGTCCTTTTATTATACCAGGATTTTCCTCCTCCTCCAACTCATAAGTGTCATTGAGTTTATCTCATGGTGGAATAATTACTGGATGCCCGATGAGATAAGGAAGCAAAGGTATGAGCTTCTAGTTTTCTTGCCTGTCTTCAATGTTTAGACCTTATCTATTGCATTGCCACAAGTGATACATAAGTAAAAACCTGGTAAAATGCTAGCTTTTAGAACAATTTATCTTTAATTTTTCCTAGTTTTTCCATCATTGAAAATTTAACGAGTCTTAGCTGTTCATATAGATTTTTATTTCATTAGTGTTCACCACCTAAAATAATTATATATCTTTGTTGGCAATGTTACTTCAATATTGTAATGTGAAATCAGCCTATCAAATTGCTGATAAAAGTAATGCAATGTTGACCAAAGGTTAGAGGATTCTAACAGAAATCCTCGAGGATGATATAGATGAATGGCAGGACTCGTAGAGAGAATAGTGTTGACCTTTAATGAGTGGAATGGTGGTAGGGAATAAGTTTACCAGCAGTGATTGGGAATCAACCTTGTTAAACAGATGTAGGTATTGTGAAAAAGATGTAAAAGAAAATTGAACTATAACTTGCACTATCATGCGATTGTGCAAGTTAAGAAGACAAAGGACCCCATCATTGAAAATTGAACTGCAGTTTTCCAATAAAATTCATCTTTAGATTAACAATAGTGAATGCCTGCAATAGAGAACATGTTTTCCTAGATAAAAAAAGCCATTTCTGAGTGTCACTCCCACAAATGTAGCGTTCCAGGTAGAGGTGGACTACATAAAGAACTATCTGCTGCTAATATTCCAATATGCTGGAATTGATCGGGTTTTCAAGATTATGCGCAATAAGTGGTGAACAAGTGGGACTAGTGCTATAATTTAGTGCCTCAAGTTCCCGAGTCTGATTGTCTTGGATTATAATTTTGCTGTGGTACATTGGATGCTGAAGCTTCAAATGAAAACTTGACTCTTTACTTTCTCAATCTCAGTATCATGCGATTGTATTTTAGACTTGCCAGATGACTTAACCAACAATTTTGATGCCCTTTAGGCCTTATGCTCAACTGAGTGTAGTTTGGAGTTTCTGGACAAAAATAGTACTTGGTGTAATAAACTCCGGACGTGTTGGAACAACAAAGCATGTATGATTGCTTAATGAAAGTTTACGTGCTTCAATAATGTGTTGAACATGACATCTTGTGTAGTCTGTGATGATTCGCTTTCCCGGTTACTGTTATTGATTAGTTGCACAGTTTAAACAAATATAAAATGCACACAAACACGCAGCACATGAATGACAAGTGAAATCAGTTAGGTAAATGTTGTGGTGCTTTTGCTTGCTCAATTTTTACTATGGACATATCAAAGAAGCAAAAATGACTTCATTTTTTATTGTAAACACAATCTTCAGTACAAGAGTCCTTGGATAAACTGCCCCGAAATCACTCCCCTTATACATTTTTTTAAAAGAGCATACCCTTTATTATTCAAGGCATACTACTGCTTCAGCAGAAGAATTTTATTGCTTTGTCTCTTAATTATTTTTTTATTCTTTTTGATTTCATCAATTCTGAGTATAAGGTCTGTGGACACTAAAAAAAAAAAAATGAGAAATTCCTTTGCTATAACCATAATTTCATCAGCATACATTTATGATACTATCTGTAAAATTTCTTATACTTGACTCTGTTTCTATGCAGTTGTTTCCTTGGGTTATTTATGTCAACGCTGTTCTACATTGCTTCTGTATGTGGAATTGTGGCGATGTACTCCTTGTATGCCCCTAGTCCTTCTTGCTTTCTCAACATGTTTTTCATCACATGGACTGCAATTTTGCTTGTAGTTATCATGGCTATATCTTTGCATTCAAAGGTACGCCTTTCAAGAATTTCCATTTCATGTGCTTGTCAATATATACAAGCATTGAAGTTGAAACTGTTAATTACGATTATTTATTTATTTTTTTTTTTTTAATTTTTTTTTGTCTGGTGGAATGAGGTTTAGATACTTAGATTAATTGTAAGTGGATTTGAAATTTTTCGGCTTTCATAACATGTTTAGATGACAGTTTACCTTGCATGAGACGGCAAAAAACTTTAAAATAATTTACTGAGAGAGAGAGATAGGGTTTGGGGGCTGAAACTTGTAATCTTCTGTTTTCCGCAGTTGGCTTTACACCAAACCACCTAAATCTTTGTGTTCTGTATGTGGTGCATTTTATTGTTCTGTCAGTTTCTTGAATTTGTCCTTGGTACGAGATGTTTGTCATAAGAGTATAGATACAGTTCTTACCATTACCTGTGGTTATTCTCTTTGGTTGATCCATAGACCCAACTTTGAAGCTCCAACATAAGGATTTAATCTGTCTTGATTCATAGTACCTGATATATAAAAATTTTGTTCATATTGGATATCTGTATTTAAAATATCTCTGTTGTCGACAATTTAAACATACAAATTATTTGTGTATGTAACGTCAAAACAAGACTGCAGTTAAGAATATGCACTTTTCTGCATGGTAATCATTACTGCTACACTGCATCTTATATATGACTATTGGGATGCTTAGAGCAGGTGAATCGAGGTCTTCTATCTTCGGGGATTATGGCTTCTTACATTGTTTTCCTCTGCTGGTGTGCCATAAGAAGGTTAGAAATCTCATCATACAGTTTGACTGTCTACTTGTAATTCAATTGGAATATATGAGGACTTTGATAATTTCATTAGATTGATGAAAAACTTATACTGTATATTCCTAAGCTAAGAATCAACCTATGTTATAAATTGATGAGCTATTCTTTTCTACTGTCATGTTCGATGAACAACATGAACATTAATAAATATTTCAAATTTTGGTTTTGCTGCATATGTTGGTAGAGTATAGAAAAGCAGAAGTTGAGAGCTTGATATGCACTTTTTGTTCTGTTTAACAAGAGTTTAAGCTTTTCAAGGCAGCTGCTAGTTCTGGGAAGTTACTAGATTCAAGTCTCTTTATTGCATTTTATTACAGTCAGTCAATATGCTTGTCTAAGGGGCCATTGTTTTGTGCATTGGTAAGTGTTCAGGCTGCTAAGCATGAGGTTGCGTATTTGAGTAGTCACTCTGTGCAAATAATGCCTATGATTAGGTTTGTGTAATGACCCTCTTTATAGTTAATATGCTTATCAATCAAGAACCGTATCTTAATTACATATTCAAATTTATGTATCAAAGTTGAATATTTTAAGTCCATCTTGGGGGTGGTAATCTAACTTCAAGACTTTATGTTTTACAAAAGCACTGAATGGTGTGTCCAATTTATTTTTTAAGGTTAGCTTATGCAACTTTTCAATGAAGCTAAATATGGTTGAAGGCAGCCAGATCATATAAAGTTCAAGGGAAATGTTTTGGAGTCCGAACTCGGAAACCTAAGCAGAGAAAGGGGCTGGTGGATCACACACCACGACGGGTGTGGGGCCTACCAGCCTATATCTGCTTCAGATTCGAAATATCAACACAATGGTTAAAAATAATATTCCACCATCTTGCTCTCTTTACGGAGCCATTGCCATAGTGCTTGTTTAGGGTTTGTGCTTTTAGTTTCATCGCCGTGAACACATTTTTTAGTACCACTTAATGTTTTCCATGAGACATGGACATCTGATTACTATGGCTGAAAACATGGTTTCCAGTGAGCCTGCAATTGGGAAATGCAGCCCACAAAAGCAAGCAAATGGACATAGTGATTGGACTACTATACTTGTAAGTGTTAATACAATTTTTTCTTTATCTTTCTCTTTTTTATTTGATAAAGCTATGGATAATACATAACCCATGTTTTATTTACTTGAAGTTGTTCTCTTTTTCTTTGCTTTTCTTTTCTTCTTCTTCTTTTTTTAAAAAAAAAATAATAATAATAATAAATAAATAAAACCACAGTAAAACTGCTAATTTGATAACTCATCATTACTAGTTTACTCTCAGTGTCAACTGCTAAAAGTGATGGAATTACTGCAAACGAATAAAGTTCATGATTTATTAGGGGAAACATTCAAAGATTTACACAGAAATGAATCATGTGCCACATGGGCTGTTTTGTTCATGCAAAAGGTAGATAGAAATAAGGAAAAGCTCACTAACTAGTCAGCTGATTGCTTTAATTTGAAGGGAAATGAAGTCACCAAATTCGTTCTCCAGAAAACAAGATAAAACGCGTGCTCTTCCTATAGTCTCCTGAATTCAGTTTTCTAATTTTTAATTTCAGTGAAGCCTAATTCTGTCAGGATAATTTTTGCTATTTCCATGAATGATAGTGCATAATGGAAAGAGCGCGCTTTTGCAAAATCCTAAAAATGATCCTCTATATGCAACAAATATAGTCTCATTTCATGAGCTATAGAAAAATAATAATAATAATTGACTGTTTCAGTCTTAAGAAAACACCAAAAAATGTGTTATTATCAGAAGCAAGTGTAGAACAAAAAGCTGGTATACATATCACCTGATATTGGATAATATTTGTGTGATTAGTATCTTTATTGGGTAGTTGTAAATCTGCTCGTGCTTTTTTCCAGGGCTTCCTCATTGCTATATGTGCAATTGTCATGGCAACATTCTCCACGGGAATTGATTCACAATCGTTTCAGGTGAATATTTCTTCTCTGTTCATGTTATGAAGCTTCAAAGCTGTTTGAAAAAACATAAAACATGAGCAGTTAAATTCCTACACAAGTCCTTTTGGTGATGTAACATAATAGAAAAGACAAGCACGCGTGTACGCGTTACATATTATGTTTACATGATGAACAATAATGAAATGTATATGATATGCTGTCCAGTTCCGAAAAGATGAAGTTCAACAGGAGGATGACATCCCATACAAGTATGGATTCTTCCACCTGATATTCTCCTTGGGAGCCATGTATTTTGCTATGTTATTCATCAGTTGGAACCTAGACAGTTCAACAAGGAAGTAAGAAGAAAATTTTCTCATTGTTCATCCAAATTATATATCAGAGCGCGTATTGTACTGTGTCATGACTTCGTGTTTGCATTTTTTGAACAACAGATGGAGCATTGACGTCGGCTGGGCTAGTATGTGGGTGAAAATTGTCAATGAGTGGTTTGCAGCGACCATTTATTGTAAGTGAATATATGCATTTATGTTCCTCTTTGAATTGCTTACAAAAACAGTACTTCTGTTGCATGGTTTAAGGTCTTCCATTGCCTTGAATCACATACAGACATAATCAAGTTATTTTTTCTATTTTTCTTGCAAGTTTGCAACTCATTCCAAGTCAATACAGTGACAATAGTTTATCCAAGACTTTCATAGGTGAACTTGGTAGAATATTTTCAAATTGCTGATTACTGTGCCAGCAGTAAAGGTTTTTTTTTTTTTTTTTTTTTCCTCCGGAAGTTCAAACAAATGCACACACATATCCACAATATTGCCCCTAGCAGGACTCGAATTCTCAACCTCCTCAGATCATACCATCTCAGCAAACGCCCACTGATTAGTTCAGTTACTTAAGAAGGGACTTTGTTTGGATTTCAAATTTTGACGTAAGGTCGACTCGTAGCAAATTGGAACTCATAAATTCAAGTAATAATAAATAAATAATCAGCTAAATCCTTACATTATTTCATTTTGTGATGCAGTATGGAAATTGATTTACCCAGTTGTGAAACAGACCAAAGTCATGGATCATGAAGATCCTGTGCAGCAAGAAGAAGACTCAGCTTTTCCATGACATTATCTCTATTCCCTTTTTTTGGTGTGATTGTTAATTTTATTCACTCATTATTGGAGATCTCCATAGAGTGTGGTATTTAAGCCTCGTGCAAATGTAAAAAAATATTAATATCAATCTTTCTTGATCAATGAAGCAAAAATAAAATTCCCATTTTTGAGTAATAGTATTGTCCAATAGGTATACATTTGATCCTCATTTTTGGCACTGTCCGACGAATCCACGGACCCGTGCAATTTCTCAATTCTCAATACATGAGGACTGAGTAAATATTGATGTAGTTAAAGAGATTGGGGTTTGAAATGTTAAAGGCCTGCTTGGTTTGTAATTTTGAAAATAGTTATCAGAAACTCAGAAAACAAAAAATAATTTTTAGAGAACTATAGAAGACTGTTATCTGAAAACATGCATTTTTATGACTGAGTTTTCAAAAAACTGAACCAAACAGAGAAATTTTTGTACAGTTTTCAGAAAACTGATTTCATAGTTACAAACCAAGCAAGTCCCTAAGTCTCCTAATTGCTTTTGTAAACTATTGTCATAACGAATCACTGTTGAGAAAGAAAACATAATTTAAGGAATAAAGCCAATATCTGTCTTGGAAATTTTATTTTTTTCAATGTTATTTGTCACTTCATGTTCAATTAATTTAATTTCTATGCGCAGGATCTGTAACATCTGATCACAATCCAACTGCACTACAGAAACCAAGGCCATGTTTGGATTTTCATTCTTAATACATTCATACACATTGTATGTGTGTGTGTATTACATCTGTATTCATATTTATGGTTTTGGTGTACCCTCCACACTAAGGACACCCACCATCTGCTACTACAATACCCCAACTTGCAATTTAGAAGCTCAAATTTTATAATTTAAAAAGAAAAAGAAAATAAGAAAAAAGAAAGGATGGTTGTGAATACATCAGTTTACCATTTATTTGTAAATCACACCCTACAAACACACACTTCGTGCCATGCCACGTGTCCTTCAGAAAAACAGCAAAAGTTTATTACACTATCTAGAACAGAGCAATTGAAATTCTCATAACTAATTATGAATTTCAACTACTTCACCACTTTCTGAGTCTGACAACAACTCCATCTTGAAGTATGACAATTTTCTGTGTATAAAGAGCAAGTCTAGAGCTCACCTGCATATCCATTCAAGAAAACCAATCATCCTGAGTACCAAAAAAATCAAAAACCTCTCATATAAATTTCAAAAATGTTCAAGCAATTTTCATCATCACTTCTGTTGGCAATGCTAATCGTGGCTGTGCACGTGGCAATTGTGGTGGCAGTCGACCCTCCAACAATTGCAGGAAACGAACCAGTTCTCGAGTTATACATGCATGACATTCTCGGGGGCAGTAGCCCTACAGCAAGACCGGTCACCGGCTTGCTAGGCAACATATACAGTGGTCAAGTGCCCTTCGCTAGGCCGCTTGGCTTCCTTCCTCCACAAGGCGGGGTAGCCATCCCTAATGCCAATGGTGCCGTTCCGACTTTTAACTCCAACGGCATTCCACTGGGAACTGGTTTAGCTGGTACGAGTTTCGCTGGCAATCCCAACAGCAATGGTAACCCAGTAGCCTTAGGACCTGACGGTTTGGGACTAGGCTTTGGAACAATCACCGTCATTGATGACGTGTTGACCTCTGCTCCCGAGCTGGGATCACAGACATTGGGGAAAGCACAAGGTGTCTATGTCGCGAGCTCTGGTGATGGAACCACACAAATGATGGCATTCACAGCTATGATGGAAGGAGGGGAATATGGAGATAGCCTCAACTTCTTTGGAGTATACAAGATTGGGAGCACCATGTCACGCCTCTCAGTGACAGGAGGGACCGGCAAGTTTAAGAATGCTTGTGGTTTTGCAGAGGTTCGCTTGCTCATACCACCTGGCCAGCATATCACAGATGGTGCAGAGACATTGTTGCGGTTCACTGTCCATCTCAGCTACTGAGATTGCCTAATAATTTGAGGAACAAATGTGGGTTCTGTGTGATGATGAATGTGGTTTTGATTTGTGGTTTTCATGTCAGCGTGACAGTGAATGAAAAAATATTCTGATGTTTTTCATATATATCTATTTGCAATCCGATCAATGATCATCAAAAAATATATACATTTACTTGTAAACAAGTAACAAGGCCATTGATTGTCAAAAAGTAAAATAATCTATCACATATTGGCTATCAGTAGAGAACTAGAGGGTTAATATGCCAACCAAATAGGTCCAATGTGAATTAACATACCTTTTATATAGCTCTCAATGCATCATGGCAAAGTAATAATGTTAACATGACGAAGCACTGTAACTTGATCAAGCCCGTAGAGTGAATCAATCAAGTGCATCCGCAGTGAAGCCGGACCTTTAGCCATGTTCATTCCTATCTCACCAGCAATACCAAATATGGATAGCGCAGAAACTGTGGCTTCAAAAGCATGCAATGGGTCAATTGCAACAAAGGCTGCAATGAGTGCAGTGACAGAGCATCCTGTCGCTGTAATCTTCTGCAACAGAGCCACCCCATTTTGTGCACCAATAACTCGTTCCCCATCTGTAATAACATCAACAGCTCCGGACACGGCAACTATACAGCCACTTGCTTTGGACAAGGACTTTGCTGCTTCCACGGCACTGGTTGACTCGTGGGAGCTATCTACACCCTTTGAAAACAATAACGATTATTCATAGAGTTGAAATAACTATGACTTGTGAAATACATAACTCAAGTAAGTTGGTCGTTAAATAGACTGTTACGACTCACAAAATCAAAAGGATCCAAAACAAACTCACAAAATACGCAAGAGCTAAGAAGCACAGAAACTTTTAAGGAGTCACGATCATGCTGTCTACATGTTGGACATTAACACTCCTAAATTATCTCCGGACACATGTCCAACACATTTTGGATGTCTCATAATTCAAAAATAATCTCAATTTCCTAAGTAATACCAACACTTTTCATACGTTTGCCAATTTGTGACTAATGAACCTAGGAGATTTTGTAGGAATTTCTTTTAGCATGAAAGAAAGGAGGTAGAATCGTTTATTAAAGGAATGGATAAGAAAGTTGGAAAGGAGTCAATCATATTAAAAAAAAAAAAAAAAAACACACACACACACACACACAAACAAAAGTTAGATCCTTATCATGACTTTCTCTATAAGAAAAATGGTGATTATGATTATATAGTTTACAAGTATAAATTCAATGTAGTAATAGAGTATTAGATAAAGTCTCCATTAAGTAATGTTTCGTCCTCATAGTGTCCATGACTGACTTTGTTGCATCGGAAGGCCCATTTCTTTTGTTGTGTCTATGCCTTGTATTAGTGTTCATGCTTCTAAGGTTATGAGGTGTAATATTTCATTAAGGCATGCCGCAAAGAGAATCACCAAGTAGACAGATAAGTATATCCAAGAACAAGTACAATGGAACATTTGCTAAGCAAGCTAAATGTAATTAAGTGAATCCATGCAACGAAGCCCAGGTATAATTTATTTAAAATCAAATCCCAAGCTCTCAACTCATGTTTTGGTGATATCATTACATCACCCTTTCCCCAATGTACTCAATGTGCTCCATTAGGGCACTGAACTTATTGTATCACTACACTATAAATTGTTATCATAACACTTCGTTCTGCCATCAACGTGCACCCATTCCCCAGTGTACTCAATGTGCTCCATTAGGGCACTGAACTTATGTACCACTACACTATAAATATTATTTCTCACAAGTTCCATTCATTCAACAAAAAATGTTTTTATGTATTTCCTTGGTTTAGGACCATATAACATGTATACACACACACACATATGATAAAATGGAATATACTCGGGAGGTAATTCTTAGAGACAATTCATATGCATGTGTGCCTGTGTTTGTGAGAGAGAAAATGGCAAGAATGAGAGAATGAGAGACTTTAGAAGGGATAAACCTTCACAAGGAGTAAAAGAGTGAGACTGAGAAGGTAAAGGAGATATTGTTCGACTGATAGGTAGATATATGTACTTAGTATTGGGCTATTTTGATCATTTCTTATAAAAAATAAAAGTGCAAGATTGTGAAAGTGTCAAGCTCACCTCCCTGTATTAGCTTGCCTAATTTATTTTCGTACAATATGCTTTCCAACTTCCATAATAATGTAATTAGACTTCCCCAATTAATCCTCATTAGTGTTCACTCAAAATAATTCACTAATATCAGTCAGTAGTCTGCAACGCATTAAATTGATTTGAAATGCAATACGAAACATAGCAATAATTACTTGGGAAAAAAAAAAAAAAAACATAGCAATAATTCAATTCAATAACATCATTCAAAGTTCAAAAACACAATATCAAGCTTTCAATGATATGAAACCATGAAACCCACAATGCTACCGGAAAAAAAAACTTTCAATAAACCCATGCTAGTATTCAATAGTAGTCAGTATCACACTAAATTCATTTCAAAAGCTATTTAAAACATAGTGATAAAATTCAATTCCATGTCATTATCCAAAATTCAAGAACACAAGAACATTTTCTTAACAACAAAAAAATATATATTATATTAACAATACCACGATTCACCGTAATACTAATTACCTTAGTGGCTCCAACAGAGGCGTTGGAAAGAGCAATAATCTCAGACCCGTTTCCTCTAATAACAGTGGGTTTGAGCCCAACAAGCTCCAGACAAGCCTTCAACCGGAAACCGGAAGCTCCGGCGGCAACTGGGTCGAGAACCCAGGGCTTACCCGATTGATTGGCCAGCTCGGCGGCGGACTTCATGGCCGGTAACCAGTCGGCGGTGAGTGTTCCGACGTTGACGCAGACCGCATCAGCGTGAGGAGTGAAGTCTGGGATCTCTTGCAAGGAGTGTATCATGGCCGGCGACGCTCCGGCGGATAAGAGCGTGTTGGCCATCAGATCCATGGACACGAAGTTTGTGATGCACTGGATGAGCGGTGACCGTTGCCTCACCGTTGATAGGTGGGTCCATGCTTTTGGGCCCCACACTTCCTTTTGATGTACTGTGTCTGCGATTTTGTTTTCCATGGCCCCTCTCTCTCCAGTTCTCTGTCTCTCTCTTCCTCTAAGAATCAAAGATTTTGTGGATGGCAGTGGGCAGAAATTGATATAAAAAAAAAAATGGGGAAAGAAAGAAAAAGCATTTACGGTTGGTATGGCTTCACTGCTAAAATCAACTCAAGTTAATAAATTTATTTATTTTCTTTTCTGTTTTTTTCCCTCCAATTACTGAAAATCCTCTAAATAAATTCTAATTTATAATAGGGCAATACTTAACTATTCACCGGTGAATAAGGTGAAGCCAATCATTCCAATAATAAAATAACACATCACCTTTAATAATAAAATAATTTACGCATTTTTTTAATTTTTCCGAATCAATTATTGAATAACGTATATAGTGTTTTTAAGTGTGAATTATTTTATTATTAAATATAATGTGTTATTTTATTATTGAATTACACAGGGTGACTATCTTCACTCTACACACTAACGAGTAGTTAAGTATTATTTATTTATTATTATTTTTTTTTTAATTAGGTGGAGCGAATTGGGGAGTTGGTCTAATGCACGGGACGAACATCTCACAGAAGGTGGGTGCTAAAGTAAAACAGGGTAATTTCCTATAGTTGAATGGAGGCTTGGAAATACTTAAAAGATAATAATAATTGGAGAGTAGATAAAACCTTTTTAATCAGGTTAACATTTCATCTCACGTCCGTTAACGTAGGTTCTCTTATAGTTCATCTCTAGGTCACATAATTCTTCTAAAAGTCATATTTTGTGCATAATTCCACTCCAATTCGACTCTTGTGTTTTACGCTTCTTTCCGATCTTATTATATATAAATTAAATTTTATCACCTTCACTCTTCCATTCTCGCATTCGTCCCCACTTTTCATACCCACTATGTGCGGCTAAGGTACATCTCACTTTGAATGGAACCAAATCAGCCCAAGCTTGAAGTACAAGCAGAATCATACGGAGCTCTCTGCATCCAAAGTTGGACCATTATGAGTCAAGCAAGCAATCGGGACATTCCCCACTATAAAAGCTCATTTTCAGAAGCATTTTGGGCCCAAATGCATTTATGTTTCATCCCTTTTGTTCCCAATTTGTGTATTTTGCGCAAAGTTGATAGTTGTATTGTGTTTAGTACAATTTGACTTTGTTTATATGATAAACATATTTCAAAATTAAAAACAGTGTAAATTATTTTTACACGCTTTAGATTTGTTTTAATTTCAATTGCAAGAGATTGGTAAAACAAATTGATTTTACCCTGTCTTTTAAATCAAATCATACCCCGAATATGATATAAAATATACATGCAAATCTGATCATGGAATAAATGAGAATAAAGATTGAGCTCCCTTATAGTCAAAGATAAAAAGAAAAAGTGGAAAAAAAAGGGCATTTATGGTTGGTTTGCCTTCACTGCTAAAATCAACTCAAGTTAATAAATTTATTTATTTTCTTTTCTTTTCTTTTCTTTTTTTCCCTCCAATTACGGAAAATCCTCTAAATAAATTATAATTTATAATTTCACTTTCTCTTATTCTAATATAAGCTTTGTAAAAAATAAAAATAAAATAAAAAATAAAAATAAAAATTGTTCGGTAAGTACTTAAAAATAAGCTAAATGGTTCAATCACAAATGTGCACACATTATAATTAATTACAAAATAAGAAAGTAATAAATAAGAATTAAAAAAAAAAAACTTATTTATAATAGGTCAAAACTTATTTCTAATAAATCACATTATGTATTTTTTTATTTTTTTTCAGAAGCGAAAGGATCACATTATGTATTCAACCATGCTAATTTCTCTCTGTTTTCTTAATTTGGTATGCATGCAAATTTGACATTACAATTGTCCAAAGATAGAATTTTGGCATAACCAACTTGGTGTGATAATTATGATTGCTATACAAATCTTGGAAAGTGTTTCCATTTTTTTGGAAAGCTGATCAAAGTCCTTATTTATTGGGATGACTAGCACCGAATTGCTGTACATTTCTAGGAAAGTGTTTCCATTCTTTTGGAAGGATGACCAAAGTCCCTATTTATTGGGATAACAATTGGTTCCAGATCCCTACCATAATGGGTGTATTTGTAATTGGATCATGTAATTAGCTTGTGTCTTAAATTAAAAGGTTGAGGTTTGGAGCTATAATTGGTAGTCATTTAAAACTAATTCATACGTTTGGCAATATTTGTCAATTATTTTAAATAACTTGTTTTGTTATTGGAATATTAATCAGCGCGCAGAATAAATAAATTAATGTAATGAAAACTAATTGAAAAATTAAAGAATTTTCAACAAAGAACAATGCATGGTTTATATATATGTGTGTGTTTGATTCACGAGTATATTTGCGTGATATATTGGCTCTTGTTTAAATTAGATTTATACATATGGATTTAGATACATAGTCTTATCAAGTATATGCATCTATAAATATAATAGTTGGTGGAGAGGGAGAAGTGGTAGGAAGTTGAAGACGGAGGGGATGGGTGACAACCATCATTAATAGCGGAGGTGTAAGAGTTGGAGATGATCACTGTTAGAGGGTGGGGTGTAAGAGGCGGATAAAACATAGTTGGAGGTGGAAGATTATAAAACAGATGATCATGGTTAGAGGTGGATAAAGAAGGAAGAGGAGAAAGAAAATAAATATAAGAGTGGTAATTTCATTATTTTTTGAAAAGTTATAATAACATAAAGGGATCCAAGTACCCTACTCACCCACTCAAATATTATCTAATTATATTATAGGAGTATATAAAAAAACATTTATTTTAGGAGGCCATATTCACACTTCTCTTTTCCAGTATTTCACTCCAAACTTAAAGGAAAATTCACTTCCAAGTTCCACCCTAACTTAATATATGAATAATTATTATTATTATTTTTTTCTAGTTGGGACTCACACACACTGCCTCCTCTGAGGTTCCAATCCCTGATTTCTCTTTGAGAAGTATGTGCTTTATATACGTTGACGTAACTTCACATGTGTATATATATATACACACACACACAATAGATTAGTATATTCACTTTTAATCCCGACTTTAGAATCTAATCTTATTGTAATTAATTAATCAGTGTTTTCTTTTTTATATTTAAATCAATTTCTTCTTTTTTTTAATTACCATTATATATTATTAATAAGAAATGACAAAACTAGACATGTTTTTAATAAAAATAAACTAAAACCAAATTGGTTAGGATTTTCTTTTATTATTACTTCCTATCCGAATTCTCGAAGCACACCAATTAAAAATCAAAACAAAATTAATTATTTTCAATCCCTATAGAAGGTTGAAACATAGAAAGCAACAACATCTAAAAAAAATTAAATTTCCAATCCCTTCAACAATAGAAGGTTCATTCCCTTTGTTCCTATCCGTTTAGCCAAGGAATTCTCAAAGCATACCAATTAAATAAATAAATAAAATTAGAAATAAAGATTTTTTTTTCTTTCATTTATAGGGCCAAAATTATCATTCTTTTAATTAATATTAATTATGAAATTACTATAAGTAATAGTTTCTTAAAATCAAAAATCTTCGTTTTTCTAAATTTTATGAATGAAAGAATTATTTGATTTAGGAAGGATATTTTGTTATTTTGAAATAAGAGTTTAGAGGATATTTTAGACCTAAATAATAGTTTTTAATGCTTTTATAATTATTTTACCTAACTCAATCAAATTGAAAAATTAACTTTAAAAATAGATTGATTTGTTATTTAAGGCTCCTAAATCTATTAAGTGTAGTTTTCCCTAAATTGTATCAGTTTTTTTTTTTTTTTTTTTTTAATGTAAAATGTAGTAACTTAAATATAAGATCAATCCTCAATTATACAATTGTTCTAAACTGATGCTGCTCTCACTTTCCGAACGTTCTTCCTTATTCTCACTCATCCTTTTTGAAGTTTTGATGAAAAATGATTACAACTTCCATTGAGTTTTTGTACCTATCAACTTTTTTTATATTCGCTTTTCGAACCCGGAAAATATGATTTGGCTCAGAATGTCTATTTTTATTAATTCCAAGTTTCTCTGAATTTGAAAGTTATCGCTTAGTTGGTTTTCATACCAAGGCCCAATCCAATAAACTGTGCATCTACTGATTTTGCCATATCCTCTTTTGTTTTGAAATTTGGATCAACTCATTGTAATGTCATTTTCTTTTTTTATTTATTTATACCGTACCGATTCCTATCTCAAAAAGCGTTTCCCCTTATTTCATCTTCCTTAAAGAAACTTATTTGGTTATGTGGTCAGATTTTATGATTTTCACACTCCCGGTAAGACCTTAAAATATTAAATACTGTAAGAGACTTTAATTGTATTAAGAAGATAATTATAAATGAGTTTCTCTTAATCGGCATGGCATGTCTTGGGTGGACCTAAAAATTAGAAAAACTATTTCTCTTCTTATTTACCGGGTAAATAATTTGATGGCATTTACCTTTTTATTTTTATTTTTTTTCTTTTCATAGTGCAAGCATGACAAATATTCTTGTTCATTGGGCTGTGAATGTTTTGGATTGTTCCAAAGAAAAAAAAAAAAAAAAAACAAACAAACAACTTTGATTTTGACACAAGTTTAAAAGATTTTTCATCATGCTAGATCTCCATTTTAGGTTCTTTTTATTTGTGCAGAATCATAATTAAAAAAGTATTCATGATGTATACACTCTTCATTAACAGAATGTTACCTCTTAACGTTGAGGATATATGATAATTTATTTTCAAGAATATACAAAGGAAAGTATTTTTCTCGAATTTCATTTTTAGAGCATACATTCATCTAGAGAAAAATAATATGTACATCCATGTAATTTCATAAATAATAAAACCCTAAAAAATATGTACATCCATGTAATTATGTCTCCTTGTGTGCTTGCAATTTTTTATTTATTCAAATCACATACTTTTCCGGACAATGCCTACCTATCCACAATTACCCCTAAGTAGGTAGGTTATTGACCATTAATGTGGTCCAATCATAAATATAAACATAATTTGTCATTACAAAATTAAGACTATGATAAATAATTAAAAATAAATAAATAAATAAATAACAGAAAGGATGACTAAATTAAATTTTTTTAAAAGTTATTGTTCTTT